GCTCTTGCTCCCTGTTTCTTTGCCCATGGAAGCCCCCTTGGCTCCTGTCTGCTCCCAGCCTGGTCTCCTAGTTTCCTGTAGGCTCTGTTAGCACCCCTTCCCCCAGACCATGTGACTTCCAGTGAAGTCCCTTTTGCTTCAGACAGGCCAGCTTGCTTTCCATCCTTACGGTCAAGAACCCCAACTGATAGGCTCCATGGTGATATTTAGAAGTTATATAAAGATATATATTCTTGGGAAAAGGTTTCAGCAGAGATGAAGCAAAGTGTTCACAGTGGTTAACTTTTGTGGAATTAAGGGGTTTTCCTCTTCTTTTTTATTTACTGGTATTTTCCAATTTTTCTTTAATAGCTACATATTGCTTTACAACTACTGTAGACATTTTTAGAGTATATTACACTTTACACTGTTTTTCCAAAAGACCCTTTCCTCTGGAGATCCTTTATAATAGTCATCTTGACAGGGAGACATATGTGCCTGCAGGGTGCAAGATAATTGATTGGGGTGCAAGAAGAAAATTAGAATTTCTGTTTTAATTTATGTTATCTTATATGTTAGGATCAGATCTCACTGACATCTTCACTGGGGCTGCACGTCGGGGGAAGGCAGGCAGATGTCCTAAAAGCAGCAAAGGGGAGCCTTCACCCATGTGGGCACTTCCATCTTACTATTGCAGGGTAATTACTAAATTTATGGATGCCCAGTTGAATGGAGGATTTACAGATGTTAACTAGTGTATTAGTCTGTCTCTGTTGCTTATAACAAAATACTTGGAACTAGGTAATTTATAAAGAAAACAAAATATACTGCTTACAGTTTTGGAGGCTGGGAAGTCCAAAGTCCAGGGAACACATCTGGTGAGGGTCTTGATGGTGGCGACAGGTGTCTCACATTGCAGAAATGGCAGAGCAGAGAGAGACTAACCTTTCATGTACTCTTCTTTTAAAGCCCTCAGAACCATGCCCCTGACCACCATTATTAATCCATTCACTGTGGCATGGTCCTACAATCTAATCACCTCT